CACAAATATCCACAAGCTGCACTTTAGCATAGCAGGGAAACTGGGACCTGAGATACTGACCTCTTTTGCAACTGAAATGTTTTGACAGTTTGCATTCTGATATGGGCTGGGGACAGTGAGAACATTTCTGCAGGCATCAGAATCAGAAACACAGCTTTCCAGTGGATGGGCCACTCTTCCACAAACAAGAGGCAGAAACCAAGCTACCTGCCTGGGCTATATTGCCAGATTTTATACTGAAGCCCAAATCCAGATTTTCAGGTGCTATTTCCCCATTTTTAAATGTTAGCAACTAATTCTGAAACGTTTAAGATACTGACTGTGTAGGCTGGTAAACAAGGAAACATAATGGCTCCCAGGCCACCAATCAGCAGCCTTTGAATGGAGACACCAGAAGTACAGAGAGTTTTTCAGCTGCTAAGAACATAAGGAAACCAACCTGTTCTCTATATTCATGAGACACTGGGTTTGGTGGTAAGGCTCTTGAGACAACCTGCTAGCTTGTTGTTATACAGACCTCTGTCCTGCTCAATAGGAATCTTTCAAAGCTACCAAAGATCAAACAGCAAAGAAGTGTGTGTGTGTGTGTTCGCACACACAGGTAAATTTGCATGTGGAGGCTGGATGCCAGTTTTAGTTTTAGGTATTATTCCTCAGGCACTATCCACCTTTTTTTTTTAAACTGGCCAGGAACTCACTGATTGGCTAGGCTGTCTTATTGGCCAGCAAACCCCAGGGATCCACCCAGCTTTATTTCCCTAGAACTGGGATTACAAGAAACACCACACTCAGCTTTTGCAAAGAATCATTTAGAAAAAAAATTCAATTGCCCTCAACCCTTCCCTGTTTCTCAATGGTACTGATCCCACAGCTCTATGACATCTCCAGGGCCTTCTGCCTTTTCAACCTCTGCATCCTTTAGGCCCTTTCTCAAGAAATAAATGACACTTACAGGTCTTGGAAATAAGGGGCAACGAAGGTTGCCCAAGGGCTTCCCAAGTGTTTGCTTCAACCCAGCTCCCACATTAAGCAGACTCTCATGGTAGGTAGCTGTGAGATTAGACTCACGGCAGGATGCTGGGGGCACTGCCAGCATACCGCAAAGGGCAGCCAGACAGATGAGAAGTACCAACCCTGTGCTTCGGAGTACATTCAATTTCTTTCCAAATACACACAGCAGTGGGATGCTCCCAAGAAGCTGACTGCTGTGTTGGTACTACTGACAGGAAGGTGCATGCGGGGTCAACAGTGGGTTTGGCATTGGGAAGTTGGGAGAGAAAGTGAACTTACCTCATTAGACTGGGATCTTCTGAAGGATCATCTGACAGAATTAGAGCTCATGCTAGAAGTTGAGCTCTTGACCTGGGATTCCCCATATAACCATAGCAGGAGGGAAATTCAGCCTGCTGTTCTCACCTTAGACCAATCCCCAGTTTTCCACTCATAGCAGCCCGAGTAGTCTTCACACACCTCCTCAGCTTTTGGCCTTGTGGATGCATCACATTTACCTTGCGAGTTGGTGCACGTCACAGTTCGTTTCTGGGTCCCTTTACCACAGTTGGCCGAGCACTGCAAGACACAGTGTGGGTGTTGTTTAATCCATGTTAATTTAGTTCAAGTCCATTAACACTTCTGAAGTTCCTACTGGGTGCCAGGCCCAGAGTAGGGAGGTAGAAATGAGGATGCTCTATGTCTGTCCTCAAAATGCTCATGGTCTTCACAGTCTTGTCTCTCCCTCAGGGGACCCCAGCCAGGTGGCCAATGATAGGTGAGGGGCATGAGAGTACAGGGTCAGAAGAACTCAGGGCACCCAGCTGGTCAAATGAGGGGAACGGAACTTAATGGCCAGTCACCAGTTCCAAAAGCCCAATGCAGGTTATGAGTTCAAAGGGCAAACGTGGCGTGAGCTAGCAGGTGAAGCAGGGGCTAGTGGGAGCAAGGTGAGGCTCTGGCAGCAACCGTGTTTGAGCCATCTAGGCTCTAAGTAAACAAAGCAAAGACCTTTGGCAGAAAAGGAGGCAATAGACAGAAGCTACAGGTCTTTTCATAAGCAAGCTCTCAAAGTTTCAGCATGGGTGCCAAGAATGGGGACAGCAAGGCTGCACGGAGTAATTTACTTACTGAGAGACATGCAAGAAACAATATGGAGAGGGGACCTGAGTAGAACCAGGTGACAAATGATGTGCAAGCCCTCAAGAACTCAAGACTGCTGTGTCCTCAGGCAGCAAGAAGGAACAAGGGTCAAGAGGAGGTGACAAGACGCAGTGGCAGCAGGTGCTCTGGGATGTGTCTGGGCCCTGCTCCTGGCATATTCTACTGTGGGATGGTGCATGGACTGGTGAGGGCCCTTGTGTATCTCCAAAACTGAGAGAGAAGGAGGCCCAGGCAGAGAGAACCCGTCACTGTGGGGAGGGCATAACTGACAAGGGTGATGAGCTGGCCAGTAAACAGAGGGGGTATGGTCGTTAGCCTTCATCTAGGAGGCAGAGGAGCATCTCAGAAAGCCCTCCCTTTGATTTGCTGTGTGTAGATCAGTGTGTGATTCCTTGTAAAACTGGCTCTCCACACATAGAAATGGAGGACACTGAGGGCTGCATTCTGCTGAGATTTCAGACTCACTCAGTTTACCAAAAGTTGCGGTAGGCCATCATCATGACTGAGTTACAAGATCCACTTTTTAAAAGTTATGTTGTGTCTAGTAAAAGTACACACATAAAGGACAAACATCATTCTTTATATTTTTTGTTATTAATGTTTATCGTAAAACCTTACCTACCTTTCTTTCTACAAACTTCTTCCTGTGGTGTTCTGAGACCAGTTTTGAGTGGCTTGTTTCACAAGATGCACATGTATATCAGAACAAGCTAGAGGGAATGGGGAAGCAGTATTTGGGCCTGTGTTGAAAGTGGCAGCAGCCTTCAGACACCGGCCCTCCTGGCCCCTGAGGTCACTGTTCTGAAAAGCTGTCTCATATTTCTCCATGTGGCAATGTTTCCAGACCACTTCAGCAACTCCATCTTCATCACTGAACTTGTGGGCTCTGTCCTGGCACATGGTACTAGCTCCTTAGTAACTAGCGGGCAAAGCCACCATCTCTACCTGTCATCAGTTCCTGCTTTGTCTTACCCTAGTCTGTTTCCTCCCCTCTCCCTGGAATTTAATTCACTGGCTGTCTAGCTGTTTTCTTGGTCAAGTGTGGGCTTTGCCCCTTTTGACCAGCAGCCCATTCTCTTCAGGTTCTTGGCCCTGAAGAAGGGTAGGTGCAGGTGGAAGTTGCCTTTGAAGGGACCCAGGAAGGTGATGTTCAGTCTCTCTTTACTTCCCCTCAGGATGGGGCTGAAAACTGACAACAGGAGGCCTCTGTACAACCTTCTACTTCTACTTCTTCCTGGATATTTGATCCTCCTTTGAATAAAGCCAGGAAGAAGCTGGGCAGGGGAGAGGTGGTGAGGGTGATCAGTACTCTTGGGTGAATAGTGTTGGATGAATAAAAATTGGCACATTTATAATAAAAAAATTCTCCCCTGAGAAAAGGAAAGCCGGTTCCCAGCAGAAGAGCCAGAGGGACTTTGGCACATGGCAAAGGTACCAGATTCTAGCTATGTGGACAACTCACAGGGCATGATTAGATTCCCTGTTTAATAGGCAGCATTAGATTGAACTGTGTGGACACTGGCTCAGGATGAGGATCAGGTATGTGCCGAGATACGGTTAGAGAGGAATTTCTCTAATCCTTGTTCCAGTTGTCCACATTTCCTAAATATGGTGACATTCTATGATCTAATGAGAACTCTGTTCTTTGGTAAGGCTGGATTTTATTTTTCCAATAAGGAAGAGTCTAAGTGGAAATTTTGGGGATTTGATCTGATTAAAACTTAAATCTTGTTTGATTGAGGTCAAGGTGGTCAAAGCCCTAAGGCTCACCTGGGTTGGGGGAGAGGGGATGAGGCTGTTTCTCCTGCCTCTATCCCAAGTATAAAGGAAGAATTATCTTGAATGACAAACCTAGACACCTAATTATGTTTCAAAATTTGTCTGAAAATTAAACTCAGTTTGAGAGCAGCCAATGGCAAGATTTTCATTAATTAAAAATAAACCGAATACTTTTTGATTCAAAATAATTCTGACTATTTGGCAATCAAAGAGAACTTTAAAAATATTTTCCATACTGAAGAGTGTCTTGGATCTAGCCTCCTCAAGTTTCCTAGACCACTTTTGGTAGAAGACCTGAGGGAAGTCACTTTATTTAGCTATTTTTTGTTTGTTTTATAGCCAAACAATCAACATAATTGCAAAGTCAAGGCAAAGCCCTGAAAGATGACATCACCAAAGATAAAATGGCCTTCCAAGTTAAAACTTAGGGCTCGATTGACCCATTTTCCAACATGTTCTATGGTGTGAGATTTGTAACTCTGACTTGCATACCAAAGACTGTCCCTCCCAACATCTGACTCCTGCAAGTTATAAAGACTGCCATGGTATTGAAGGGAAGTCTTTGAAGTCAGACTCAACTTGACCATATTACAATTCAAACATGCCCAAAAGAAAATGAAAAGGTCAATGAGTGGGTATCTATACATGTATCCATCCATCCATCCATCCATCCATCCATCCATCCATCCGTGAATCTGTGTATATATGATCTTCATTTTATTTATTTATTTTTTTGGTCTTTTTTGAGACAGGATCTCCCTATAGCCCCAGCAGGCCTGGATCTCACCATGTAGATAAGACTGGCCTCGATCTTGGAGAGATCTGCCTGCTTCTGCCTCCTCAGTGCTAGGATTAAAGGAAGGTAGGATTTAAGAAAATAGGAGCGGGAGCACTCTAGTGAGCTGATTGATTGGCAGGTGGTATACCAGGATGCATCACAAATAGCCTGGAGCAGAAAATCTGATAAGAAGCCCTATGGATAAGCCTTACAGCCCTGGTTGCAGCTTCAGCCTCAGTGGCAAGTCCAGGTACCCACCTCTGACCATTCCGATGCCTCCCAGATGGACAGGCAGTCCTGACCTTCACAGCTCTGCACTGGTGTTGGCCGGGGACCTGAGCAGTAGAGGGGCCGAGTGGTGACATGGGTGCCGTTCTGTAGCTGGTACACGCAAGTCACATCCCGATGCTGGAGGCCCTTTTCACAGGTCGCTGAGCAGGGGCTCCAGTGACCTGCCACCCACCTGCCCAGAGGGAGAAAAGATGTAAGAAAATAACCTGGGGGAAGAGCCAGCTCCCCTTCCCTACTGGATCATGAGCCTGTGGTGGAGGGGAGAAAACAGACTTAGGGATCTTTGACATCAACTCTGGAAGTAATTCCAAAGATTTGGAGCAGAGTGAGTGACCTGAGTGGTCATCTGGTTCATTGGCCCCCTCAGTACATAAAGATTTCTGCTACAACACTCCTATGGTAGATTAAGTCACTGTTTCTAGCTGGTGACTTCTTCTCTGTAGTGAATCATATATACATGTTGTCATGGTGCATGCTCTGTTCAATGGGCTGTGAGCAGACATGAAGACGATAATGGCCTAAAAACAGTTTAAAAAAAGATTATTTTATTTATGTTGGCATGTGTGAGTGTATACACATATGTATGTGAATGCATGTGTGGAGACCAGGAAGTATTGGTGGTCCCATCTACCTCTCTCCACCTATTCCTCTGAGGCATGGCCTCTTCCTGAATCTGGAGCTTACATCTTGGCTAGGCTGGAAGTCAGAAAGCCCCAGTTATCTGTCTTTTCCCTTGAAGCTGGGATTACAGGTGTTCATAGGGACAACTGGCTTGTTATATGGGTGCTGGGATTCAAACTCTGGTCCTCAAGATTGTGGAGCAAGCACTCTTAACCACTAAGCTATTCCGTCAACCCTTCCCCACCTAAACAGAAGTATTGAATGTGGTTATGAAATTGGCTCTGATTGTTTCTCTTTGCCATCAGAACCTGATACTGTTGTAAGGTGGTGTGATGTTTGTTACTACAGCATTAGCTGATTGATACAGCCTGTATGAAGGCCTCTCCAGTCCCCGAATGAATATACGAAGACCAGGTCCTCCTGCCCTCCAGGACTGTGGGCCCTTCAGAGTGGATATAGTGAACGCTTGAAGATGGCATCTTGTGGGCCACCAGGAGATGGAGACTGCTAAGGCTGGCCCTTGAAAATGCTTTCCTAAAACTCATTATACCAACCCAGTGTTCTGTTAGTGTCTCTATCTATGTTGGTGTCAGGGTACTGGAAAGCAATTGAGTAGTTTGAAAATCATGATTTACTAGGGCACAAATGGGGCTGGGAATGTCCTTTTGGGGATACTAGTGAACTCAATCTCTTGTCTGTCCTCGAACACCCCTAGGACCCACTTGGCAAAGCAGCTCAGATATAGGCCTAACTCCAACTTCTGTGACTTTCTGTTTCTCCTAGAATGAATTTGTTAGCACTGAAATTTAATAATGCCACAGACTCAGCAAGTTCCTCCCATTACACAAGGACCTCATGGTAGCATCTTCAGACAGTAAATCCACATTCACAGTCAGTAGAGTTGAGACTGATCTTCTAAGTCTGGGATCAATAAATTATTAATTTATGCATGTACCAAAACATCATATGATACTCCATAATTCTTTTATCTTTTATGTATCAGCTGAAAAGTTTATCTTAAATTAAAAAATGAAATGATTAGTTTTCATCCAGTTTTAATAGTGGTTTGCAATTTGAATACTTTTACTGTGTAGATTTAAATAAAAAAAAATCCCTGTAAACAGCAAGTCTATATTTTATCAGCAAATATGGAGAAAGCAGGAATAAATAAGAAGCAATACAAAAAGTAAGCACTGTTAACATACGTGTAGTTTTCACAATCCAATGAGGAGGGACTTCCGTATATGTTTTTAAATTGCCTAGGAGCTGGTTTCTAAAACTAACTTGCTGTACCTATTTCTTTTTCTATGTAAGGCATTCAGTTCTTACAAAGGAGGTGAATTACCACCTGATGAGGGCTAGATGCTGTGGTCAATAATTTATGGGAAGCATCTCACTTTTTCTGGCCACCACACCATACCACACAGTAAGCACTGTCATTTCTATCCCTCTTTGCATCAATGGTGGGTCCTACAAGAGGAACTTTGCTGTCTGGAACTGGAGAGGAAGAGATGATTGATACCATCCAGTGTGTACTCAAAGGTTCAGAAAATGCTGCAGAAGTTTCTAAACTGTGGGGTGGGGTGGGATTGGCATGATGAGATTTCACCTCAGGTGGCATTCAGGCTATCTTAATAAGAAAGAATGGAATGACTATCCCCACTATCCCCCCCATAATGACTATGCCCATCAACATTTAGGCCCTCAGCTATGGTTGTTGATGCTGTCTCTTTGGTAGATGATGGGGTCCAGAGCTGTGAGTGTCTGTCCCATTTCAGTACCTACCAACTACTCCAATGGCACTAAAGTAATTGGATTACACGCTACACAATTCTTCCTGTTCTAGGATTTGGGATAACAGAGATTCTCAGTCCCTCCTATCCTAACTGTCATGCTCTGATCAATCACTAATCCTCTTCAAGTGGACAAAATGGGAGGTGTAGACTGAACAGCAGGAGAGAAGATAGTTTGTCAGTCTTGAAGTGGAGATGCTGTTAATCTCTGCATTATTTCTGTATTTTTAAGAAACCAGAGCATACTTCTGTCAGTTCTATTCACCTCTCTACATTTTCTGTCTCTCATGAACTGACTCCCAGTCACTTCATCCTTCACTCTTAGAATTGACTTTGTGAATATAAATATCAGGCATTAGGGTAAGCCTGGTTTGGTGTTGCTGAGGTGACCCCCACAGTGAAAACAGGTCTGAATCTGTTGAGTCTTTTGTGTTTGCTGATCCTGAGAAAGACTTCTGTGCCACTCTCTTGGGAATGTGGCCTGCCCTAGGGTATACACTATTGGTCACTAGATGTACCTCTAAGTCCTGGCATCCCATAAGATGCCATCCTCAAGGGTTAATGTCTCCATTCTGGAGGGTCCACAGTCATGTGATCCAGTGAACGTGGACAGCAACTCTGGTTCACAAAGCTCATATCTGGGGAACACAGGGGACTTTCTAATAGAGTCAAGAGGGAAACAGAAGGAAGCTAGGCTCAGTTTGAAGATACTCTGCCAAGTGAAGTAAGCTTGTCCTCAAAGGAAAAGTACCATAAGACTCCACTTACATGAGGTACCTAGAGTAGTTGTGATGGTTAATACTGACAATTTGACAGATTCTAGAATTATCAAAGTGACAAGCTTTTAGGCATGTCTGTGAGGGATTACCTAGACTTGGTTGAAGTGAGAAGATCCACCCTAAATGTGAGCAGGAACAATCCATGGACTGGGGTTCCAGAATGAATAAAGAGGAGAAAGTAAGCTGAGCATTAGCATTCATCTCTCTCTGCTTACTGCCTATGGATGCAATGTGACCAGCTGCCTCACACTCCTGCTGTCATGCCTTCCCTGCCATGATGGACCATACCATCAAAGTGTGAGCCAATATAAACCCTTCCTTCCTTGAGTTGCTTTTGTCATATATTTTATAACCGCAACAAGAAAAGTAAATAATACATCATTGAAACTTAGAAGGAGGGATAGACTGGTGTCTTCCAGAGGCTGAGGTGGTGGTACTTTCTGTTTTAATGGGACACCTGGTACTTGCAGAGTATTCCTACTGACAGCACACCTTCCCACCTGAGAAATATGCTGACCCAGTCTATAGGGGACTCTATGGCACGTGCACCTTCTGTACCTTATTTTAGCTGTTTTTCAGCTAAGCATTTTGCTGCTGCTCTTGGCAAATATTCCAATGAAGCATGGGAAGAAAATGAGTTTCTATAATCTTTGTTTTGTTGTTGTTTTTTGGTGGCTGAACCATATCACCTGAAGAATTATGGTTGTAGAAGTCCCCACTGCCACATAAGCATTTGAACACCATTGTCCAACTGAACATTATTAGTACAACTGCAATTCCAAATCCTGTAATTTCTATTATGATTACAAGCTAAGTCAATATATTTATCACTTATGTCCCCTAAAATTTTAAGGGTAACATTTATGAACCAAGTGTCATTTAGCAGCTCTTCCTAAAAGCCATAAAACTGTAGTTATTGAGAAAGGCATGGTAAACATATCTCCATCTCAGGCTGCCATTTCCCTGTTCCTCAGGGAATCAGAATTGAATCTTCTCCCTTTCAGTTCAGTACAGACTCACTTGCTGTGCACAGACAGACTGAGTATCCTTTATCTAATATGGTGGGGTCAGAAGTATTTTAGATTTCTAGTTCGTTTTGGATTTTAAAATATTTGCATATATATCATGAGACATCTTAGGCATGAAACCGCAGTCCAAACATAAAATTTATTTACATTCCAAATATGCATATGCACAGCATGAAGGTAATTTTGTGCAATCTAGTGCACCTATATTTGGCTGTGATCCATCACTAGGATCAGATGTGGAATTTCCTACCAAGGGCAATGTGTGGACACTGAAAAAATTCTGCAGCATTTTGGATTTTGGATTTTTGGAGTAGGGATGTACAACTTGTAACGTGAAAGTTATAATGTTCTAATGAGATTCTCTGGGTAGCTCTGTGACTATATAAGAAACACACACACACACACACACACACACACACACACACACAGCGCAGGAGAGAAAGCATAGTTCTTATACAAGTATGAGGACTTTAGTTTGATCCTCAGCACTCACAGAAAAAGATGGGTATGGTGATATATGCTTGTGATCCCACAAACAGGGAAAGTAGAGACAGGAGTTCTCTTGGGCTCACTGGCCAGGCATCCTAGCCAAATTGGTGAGTTTCAGGCCACTTAGCGACCTTGATCAGGAATCAGGATTGGGGCTTGGGAGTATGAGCACTTGGAGGCTCTGAAGGAGATGAAAGGGTGACTGTCAAGTTCAGGGAGGATGGGAGGAACATACAAGAGCTAGGAAGGCGATTATCTACAGTGTAGGGGTTAGATGGGCAGAATTCATTCTCCGGATTTAGCAATAGGACAGATTGTGGGTGAGATGAGCTCTGGGAAAGGGCAGTAGTTCTGAATGATGCTGAAGTAACCCCAATAAATTCATTGGTTCACTAAGTCAGACTTTGGTAGTATCCTTCCTTTGGTCTGTTGTTGATTCCCTTTTGGGTGAGTAAACATTTG